GCACGTGCAGAAGAAGAACGTAGACGTCACATAGCTGCAAACTGTTTACAGAAGTGACAGTGGATGCCGCCGTCTATGGATTGATTTTAAAATTGCTGAGCAGTGGGAGCCGACAGTATTGTCACAAGAGGATAAGACAAAGGAAGCCAAGACAAAAGAAAGACGAATGTCGGCACTACTTGCTTCAGCCATTGTTTACTTCCAGATTTACTGGTGTAGAGTAAAACTGACATAAAATGCTAGTTGACTGTTCAGGCTCCAAACTTTTTAAACTTCTGTAAAGTATCTGATATAGTGCCGCATATGGAAGTGGCACAAATTGGATTTTTATGGGTGAAAAGATCGGAAATGGGTTGTTCAAACTGCCTTGAAAAAGCAGTTTATGGGCAGCATTTCCCTGCTGTGTGAACATAATAAATAATAAAGTCTGTTGTAGCTACTCACATGTTCAGTTGTGTCATCGTAGTCCCACTGTGTGTTGTCGAAGAGCGGACAGAACAGAAACAACAAGTGAGCAAAGGTACAACAGTGACTGGCAAGAAAGCATTTGCACCCATTTTATCTGTAAACACACAAGCACCAAATGTTTGCCGGTAGGAATATTTGTAGCAAAAGTGAACAATAAGCCAAGCGCAAATGGTTTGTGTTTGTCAACTGAAGTAAGATCAGTGAAGTTTAACGACGATCTCACTCACTGCCTGGCAAAAGTACTTACAACTTAGGAGATTTTATTGGGATCTTAAGTGAAAGGCTGACACAATGTACTCCATCATTGTGAAAAGTAAAAAGATGGACTAGTGGTTTTTACATTTTTTCACAAAAAGGAAAAGGTGTGGGATGGATTTCGATTTCGTCTTCTTTATGTTGACGCCACAAAATAAAATGCAGCACAACCAACTCCCTGCAGAAGTGACTTAATTAGGAATGAGAGTACTTTCGACTTGCCTGTCACTTTCCTGCTGGTGCATCTGAATTTCCCCACTGAGGGACAATAAAGGCAATGACTGTTCTATCTGTGTGGAGCTTCATCTCAATATGAAGCCAGCTGTTCTGCAGAGGCCTTAGGCAGGAAACGCTGCTGCCCACAGTGGAAGAAGAGACTCTGGTCAGAGGTAGTGCAACTACCTCATACAACTATGCTTCATTTGCCTGACACTTCACAATTATGCACTACCTTGTGTTAGATGTCATATAAAATCCCAACAAAATACAGTCTGTAGTAGTAATATGATAAAATGCCAACAAGTCCTGTTGCTAATGCAAAAGCTTTACATCAACCTTAATTTCTTTACACTCAACCTCCAAGAAGCTAGAGGTCTAAGTGCAAGCCTGAAACACTTCTTGGAAGCAAACTGTAGCAAAATGAAGAGAGGACTCAAGACTTTTGCACACAGTACAGGGCATTGCCATTACCCATTTGAAGGTGAGGAGGTGAATGAGACAAAGCAGTACTACATGTCTGAGGAATGAGGCGGCAGGTTGTGTGTCTGGTTGTGTTGACGGTGGGTGGTGTTGTACCTGAGCATCATCAATCAGGATGTCCTTGATGACTGGCTGTCCTGTGGGCTCCCCATTAACCATCCTGACATAGTGCACCTGGTATCCTCGGATCTGACCGTGCTGCTTGGTGGGCACCGGTGAGCGCCAAATCACTTTAATTGATGAAGAGTTGACAGCCTCCACCTCGACTTTACGAGGTGGCCCACTAGGAACTGGAGGAACACCATGGGATAAAAGAAATAAGGTCAAAATTATAGAGAATCCCCCCAATCTTTGCTTCACCCTCTTAAGCGTCGCCCCCAAAAAATGTTGCGGTGACCAAAAAACCAAAAAAAAACAAAAACAAAAACGCACAAAAGTGCAGAAAACCGCAACAAGCACTGCATGACAGAGTTATTTCAACAATGGTAAGGAGAGAGGGGGGGAAAAAACAACAGCAAAAAGCAGGTCCGACAACCGACCTAATCTTGTAAAACCATTAAAACCGAGTCGGGTGAATTGTAAAAAATATGGCGTAAAAAAATGGGTTTAGTCAAAATAGAAAAGTGGAGCCAAAAGAGACTTCAAGAGTTTCATATTCTTGAAGTGCAAGAAGAGTTTTGGCTGTGATGTAAGGGGGGAAAAAAATAAAAATAAAAACAAAAAATGATTTATTATCACATGAACTGACAAAAATATTAAAAATGGCCTTTAAAAAAAAATCTTCCACATTTTGTTTTTCCCACTGTCATGATTTTTAAAAATTTGAGATCTAAAAAGAACAAAAAAAAGTTACAAAAACAGACAGTTGGGACTGGAAGTTTGAGGCCTGGAGGGGTGGAAAAAGCCATACCATGTGTTGAAATTAAGCAGCGTGAAGGACAGAAAAAGCCAAAAAAAGGTGCTTGCGAGAGTCAGTTTGGTTAAAAAAAATGACTTTCCAGAACAGAGCCGACAGTACCGAGTGGTCACAGTCATTTCAGAAGCAGGCAGAGGGGGTAGAGAAGAGGTAGCAGCAGATAGAGGCTGTTAGTATCTGGGGGGTGGGGAGTTGGTTAGGTCAGGAAAAGCAGGCTGGATTTTCAGCTGGAGGTTTTTTTTATTTATTATTTTTTATTTTTAGCAAACACATACCATCCTCCTCTGTTCGGATAAGCTGCGGCAAGCTCTCAGGTCCTGCTCCGACATCTGTGTGGGCAGTGACCGTCACACGGTACTCAGTCCATTTTTCCAGGTTCTCCAAAAGATACTTGGTGCTCTCCGGAGGGATCCCAGAGATTCGGCGAGCGGCGGTGTCCTCCCCTTCGGTGGCGGCGTAGTGAATAGCGTACTGCGTCAAGATCCCGTTTTGCAGCTCCACGGCTGGCGGCCGCCAACTTACCAGGATACTGGTCGAGCTGGGGCTGTGGCACTTTACATCCTGAGGTGGGCCTGCGGGTTCTGGACGGCGAAGTGGTTCGGTAGCAGATCCGTTACGTTGCGGTTTGGTTTAGATTTGTCGGTTGAGGCCATTCATTTAGTTGGATTTGTTGTTTTTTCGTTTTTAAAGGAGGTTCAGTTTTTATTTTTTTTATTTATTTTTGATGAGGTTGATGATGGAAGAGTCGAAAGAAAAAGAAAAAAGGAAAATAAAATGATGACATGAAAAAAAAGCACGAGGACTTTGATGAATAAATAAAACAAACCTTAAAACACAAATAATAAACAAATATAGAAATAAACACACGTTTTTTTTAAGTTTACAACGAAAGGAAGAATGATTGGAAAAAGGAGAGCTGTACCAGAAGTCACCTACCTTTGCCATGAAAAAATATAAATTCATATGAAAATAAAATGAAAACTTCTTTCCCATTGACGTCATAAACAGGTTAAAGAGACAATTTCAAATGTTACATTTTGCAAGCAGTTACCATCAATCCAAAAACATAAAGGTTGATGCTGAAGTTAATTTAAAAAAAGGGGGGGAAAAAAATGTGGTATTTGTCACCAACCTTTCCGAAGCCTGTTGGTTTGTGGTAAAAGCCTGACTGTACAACAGAGAGCTTTGCAAGGAGATATGACTGATTCATTACATTCTGACAACATCGGCATGCATGAGTTTCTCTTCTTTAATATCTTGGCAGGATTTAAATTTCTGAGTGTCTGTACCCACCTGATTACCTGCCTCTGACTGTCAGACCCCTCAGATTTATGCTGAAAGTCCAAACTCAAAAAAAAAAGAAGAAGAAAAAAACAGAAACTGATCGGTTTGATTTTTCTATTCTGTGAACTGATATGAAGAGCTGGATACGTTTGGAGAAAGCAGCAGAATTTAAACGTCTATTTTTGTTTGTTTTTCCAACATAAATCTGAGGTTTTTAGGAGGTGGGAATGTCTCTAACTAGAATGTTGCTTTGAGCTTTCTGTGCTGATGCAACTCAACAATTCAGTTAAATTTAAATGGCGAATTAAAGAACAAAAAAGTCTGAGATTTAACCTTTTGCCTTTAAAATATGTAGCTGCAGAGAAAGCTCAAACTAAACCTTTATTCTCCTGGTTTTGGCTGCCAGGCAGCTTCAGGAGACATGGTTTCCAAAGCTCCGTTTCGCTCCCGTTTTATTATTATACAACTCACACACATGTGGACGTTAGCATAAATAATTCAGGAGCTTGAGCGTTAATTTTACTCAAAACTGTTTTGTGCACAACAAAGCAGAGGAGCAGGGGCTTTTGTAAACCATTCTAGTGACTTTGCAGGAAGCCCAGATGGCTGTCAGTACAGCCACTACAAGGAATGCTGCACAGTTTTCTTTTTTTTCACTCTACTTAGATTTAAACATTTTTCAAATGCATCAAACATTAATAGGTAAAAAAAAAAAAAAAAAAAAAGTAGAAAAAAGCAAACCAAAAGGCATAACTGACATCTCCGCCCTCTTTTGAGATGTTTGGACTCAAAAATGCATTTGAAACGCGTTTGTTCCCAGATGTTTTAAACTTGGTCAGATAAAGAAGAACACCTACGTGTCTGTGGGGTTTCTGCGGAGATGTCGCTGGTGTAAGCTCCAATTCCATGTTTACTGCGGGCGGCCAGACGAAAAGTGTACGTGGTGAAGGGCTTCAAGTCCTTCAGCAGGTATGTGGTTGTCGGTTCGAAGCTGATTCGTTTCTGTGAAGACAGTTTGGCCTTCTGTCATTTCATTTCTTCTTTTCCTAGCTGGGAAACACTCATTAACATACGAAACCTTGTTTACAAGTAGATTCTGGCAAAGAGACAAGCATGGAAACAAGGAGCGCACCAATGAATGTGCCGCTCAAAACAGGCCTACAGTTTAACCTGTTGTGCAAGTTTTTCTTTCATGTTAAAAATGAAAGAGTAAAATAAAAATGTGTTCCCCCCTTTGATTAGTTAATTTAGTAGTTTGGACAGGAATGCTCTAAAATTGTCATTTGTATTAGAGAGCACCAGCTCGTGCAGCCCAGAAAAGTTTGTATTATTTCACGGTATTCAATGATTTTCAATAAAATAAGATTTTGAACATTGAAGGTGTCTTTCTAACACCTGACAGCTAGGAACAAAATTGGTATTGGTCAAAACTGGAATCAGCAGGTCAGGCTAAAAGACCGGTAGATTTTATTCTAAAGGCCAAAAACTGCAACTGTTGCACTCCTGACAAAAACAGCTTTTGACACAATTTCAAACATAAAAGCGTACACTGCAGACACATGGAACAAGGATTCATATAATTCAGTTTAGACATAAAACTCAACAAAACCAAGGAATTCTCCTTTTACACTGTACACCTGGTAAAGTTTAAAAAACTTTAAAGTTAATTATTATTTTCTTGCACACGTATAATCCGATCTTAAATCTGAGCACATTTATTTTGTGGTGGAAAAGAATCCAACGTTAACAAAAAAAGATGTTTTTAATTGTTGGCGCCGCAAACATTACATTTATTTAAATGAAGCATTTTCTTTCTTATACTTTGGTATTTGAAGTTAATAAGAGCATTGAGGAACTTTGATCTAGTGAATCATGATTTTCCAATCCAGAGAAATTCATTTCTTTCAGGCAAGACAAGAGAACATGGCGCACAAGTAAAGCAGTTGTGTGTTGATCTGAAAATTAGACAAAATGGCTAAAAGAAAATAGCTACTTGCCTAAATTTACTAAAATCTTTATTAAGAGTAACAACTATAAAGTGACAAGCGAATCAGTTTAAGGAGGTTAAAAAAAAAGCTTGACATTAGAAAACAACAGGAAGCAGTGAGATCATCAAGCCTCAACCATCAGATACTGACTTTGTACCAGATGGTTGGGATACCAGGAGGCAGATTTTGCTGCCCGACCATCAGCAGTGTATCAGTGTAAAGTTTGATTTCGAAGCTGGAACCGTGTGGTACAATCAGATAAGACCAGGACTGAGCTTTTACAGGGAAACACATGCACTTTGTTTATATCCAGGAGCATTGTATATCAATGCTCCTGGATACAGGAGCATTGTATATCAATGCTCCTGGATATTCCTTTTTTTTATTGCTTAATATTGCAATGACAATTCAAAGGAAAATTAAATAACTACTGCAAGCCACAATCTCCAAATGTCAAAGTCATAAAAATAAAAATGCTCGAGGAGAAAAAGTTACCAATTATGCCCTGTTAATTACTCACAGCAGTGTTAAACTAACAGCCGTACTGTAAGTAATTAAGGAGGGTAACAAGCGACTCTTAAAAACATTATTAAAACAACTGCAGCAAAATCTGGACAGATTCAGAATATTTCTTACGTGCAAGCAGACTAGAAACGCAAACTGTTCACGTTCGTAAGCGGTAATTACCTCGTCTTTGTCGTCCTTCTTTCTGTACGTGAGCTCATATCCGGTCACTTGGTTTTCCAGTCCCGTCTGGGCCGGAGCGTTCCACGAAAGCAAAATGCTTGTTTCTGATTTGGCTTCTCCTTTGAAGTCAGTCGGCTGGGAGGGAACTGGGAACAAAGAGACGAGTTCATTATGAGCCACATTACACGCGATTCATTGGGATTTCGGTCACACTTCTGGACATGACATCGGAATGGTTACGGTCCAGAGGGATGTCAGTCTCATAGATACCACCATGCCATCCTCAAATAAACAATATATGCAATATTGTTATCATTGCTTTATTATTGAATGCAATTGAAGATATATACAGGGTTTCTAATAGTCCGTTTTTCATTACTGTATTATTATGAACTAATTTAGAATGCATTGAATAAAAACTCTCTAGCTCCTTTCCATAAACACTTCAATGTGGGATTAAGACCCCCTTATGCCGTCTCTGTGTTTTGTTAAAGGACTGTGGTGGTTAGGGGAGTTGAATTCAACCCACTCCTGGTAAGCCCCTTACTCACCAAAGGATGTACTCACAGCTCTGTGTCATCTGAACTGTGGGAAGTGTGTTATGTAGCTGTGAAAGGCCGACTGGGAGGCCACTAGGCTGGGGATCATCGCACTGAGGAACGGCTACTTTGGTTAAGAAAGGCTGACTTGTTTCTTTGTTGTTGGTTTTTAAGTCACAAAAATGTCAACCCCTAAATATGTTTGCATCATGTTTTTATATTATCCACAAGCATATCAAATCATTTTGGAGTTGGAGAGTGGTTTCTGTCACCTTTGTAGTGTGTCACCACTACCAGTCAGCTCTGCTTCTGCTGGCTGCTCCAGTGTTGTAAGAGCCTGTGTAACAATATCTTGCACATCAGTTTTTTTATTTTATTTTATTTTTTTTTTAATTATTTTTGGTAGAGTCCTTTCATGAAACCCTTATTTTCTAAAATATTTAAGAAAAATAATTTGATGTGAATTTACAGCCTGACAGTTAAGTTGACTCAGTCAATAATCACAGATCAAACCAGAATAACTAAGCTCCGTCTTGCTGGTAAATGGAGTTTTCGATCCGCCTTTCCATGCGGCACGTTTCCATACTTTGTAAATTGTCAAAGCAGGTACAAACTGATTCACCACTGGCACCAAACCCACCTCCGGTCTTGGCGATGATTTGCAGCTCAGGAGAAAGGGGTCCGTCGCCCACAGAGGTGAAGGCCAACACTTTGATGTAGTAGGTCTTATTCGGGATGAGTCCCTGGATGGTGACGAAGTTAGACCCCTGAACCATCTGCTTCTCCCAGAGGTTAACGTGCTGGCTGTAATCCATGGTGTAGTACACCCTGTAGCCCATGATTTGCCCGTTGGGCTCCTCCGGCTCGTCCCACTGGATGACCGCCGTGGTCGCGCTCATCATGTGACCCCGGACCTGCCGCGGCGCGGTGCTCGGCGCCTGCTCTGCCGTTTTGGCCTCGATGCTCTCGCTGGGCGGCCCTCGTCCGATGTTGTTCACAGCCACCACCCTGAACTCGTAGTCGGAGTAGGGGCTGAGGCCGCCCACGCTGTACCGGGTGGTGGCCACGCCATCTATCTCCTTGTACAGGTCATCAGAGTACTTGGATTTGTGCTGGATGATGTAGTAGGACACTGGCTCGGGGTTGCCAGAGTCCCAAGTCAGCGTGATGCTGGTGGCTGTGCGCTCAGTCACCACCGGAGTGCCAGGAGCCTTGGGCAGTGCTGCAGTGACAATTATTTAATAAATATTAATAAAAATACAAATATATGGGAAATATCAGAAAACTTTACCTCTGTGATTCATTTCTGAAGCCACAGATTCTCGCATTGTCTGCTTTCAGCATTTTACAGAGCCGTTGTTTATGTTGTTAATCTTTAGATTTCTCTTCATCACTTTAATAATTAAACAGGTAAATTTATTGCTTTAATTCTCCACACCGTGGCGCACAGCAAAGGATATCAGAGCAATAGATCGTGTTTATATGCCATCTGAAGCAGACTACTGGGGGAAGCCTCTGCCACGCTGGTATATTGTGACTAATATCTTCATGTTGTGTCTCGGAAAAGCAAAGCTGTGAGCGTGTTTGCGGGCTGGAGTCTATCCCTTGTGTGCATGTGAATGTGGCGGCGCTATCTGGGTTGTCATTCTGGTGTATTACGAGGGACAAATGATTACTATTTCTGCACCAAACAGTAGACTCTACTTTGTACCCCTCCTTTTAGAAATAGGGAGCTTGTTACTTTGTAGTTCTCTGTCTGACAGATAAGCACTTTGCTATAATCTTAAGCTTGTATCATATGTTAAAAGTCGGGTGCTAGAGTTTTAAGAAAAGCTTTGAAATTGGTTTGTTTTGACAGAGAGGGGTGGGTACGTTTCTGACAATAGTCTCTACTTGAATGTTTTCTGAACAACAAACGACATCAAATTTACTAGACAAAACTGTTCAATCTTAGTATGAAGTGAAGATGATCAACATTCTGATAAGTGATTCACTTCTGTCATCTCTTTCATTAGCATAATTCCAGAAATGGCAACTCAGAAAGTCCGAGGAACACTGTTATTGACGCGTATATATTTCACTACTTTTGCATGTTTTATTTCACTCCAACCACTCAACCTTAACCATCACTGTGTTTAAAACGGATCATATTTAGGACATTGTCGTTTTCTAAAAAAATTTAATCTGAAGAAAAGGCAGGCTTTCAAATCAGTCAAACACATTATGCTAACTGAAGACTAACTACAGTATTTTCCAGACTATAGAGCTTGCCTCACAATAAGCCGCACCCACAAAGTCTTAAAAAAAAAAAAAATGGAAACGTACATTTAAAAGCCGCACCAGGTTATAAGCCACTGGTATCTCCGCCGCTCTCGGTTTTCCACAAGATAAATCTGCTATTAATCTCCAACGCCGAACCATGGATTACGTGCAGCCAGATCGATGGCCTTCAACTTAAAAGCTGCATCATATGAACTTCTTCGTGTTGTTTCCATGATGAGGGGGTATGAGTTTGAAAACATTTCTCCGTCATCCCTGCTGCTAGCATGTTCTTGTTCTAAATGAAAATCAGCACTTCCTTCTTTGATTTCCAATTTTGACTTCCAATGATTCACTTCCTGCTAGAGAGCCCCCTGGTGGTTGAAGAAAAATCCGCACAAAAGCCGCATCCGGCTATAAGCCGCATGGTTCAAAGTTATCGTCTGAAAAGTGCGGAATGTCCTTTTATACATGAAACACTGTTCAAACTTTCAAGAGGTCACTAGACACTGTCCTATTACTAATTGATTAAGCTTTTCCAAATCACTTAATAGTTCTTTTTGTTTTATAAAATTAGTTTTCTACAAATGTGTTATGTATGTTCTTTAGAGAAAAGCAAAGCTTACCAATTGATATATTATTTAGATTAAACGTCTTCAATATGGAGATTTAACTTTGTTTCTGGGGAATGTAATACAGGAGTTTGAACAATTATAGCATCTTATTTATTTTTAAATCATAATATTAGTAAAATCGTACCCATCTTAATCAGCATATTTACCTTTTACTGTTATCTGGGCCATAGCTTCTATCACCCCAAGTGTTGACATGGCAACACAAGTGTAGTTGGCCGACTGTCGTACATCTGTGAGCTCCAAGACGTTGCGTCCGATGGGCATGTCGTCCTCTGGGGTGAGATCCTCAGCGCCTAGCATCCACTTGACGTACGGCATGGGCGAGCCCACAGCTACACACGTGATATTCACGCTGCCACCAGGCATGATCTCATTGTCTGTCGGTGGGATGGAGAATCGGGGCGGGACTCGCCGTACTGAAAAGGAATTACCAGGTTTAGAACAACCAACTGAGAAACAAAAAAAAAAAAAGGATAAAAAACAAATCAAATCCTTCGGAGTAGTTTCCAAAGAGTTTGACTGTTCGAAGATTGCGTTTTTATCTGCAGAATTCAAATGAAAACTGTTTCATATCATCCATAAAGACGCATTTTAAACATATTTTATCTAAGCTCTAATGGTAATGGTGAATGGGTGAACACCAATGTGAGCACTATGCACAAAACACAGCATCGGATTTGTACACAAATACTGTTGCCAGGCAATTGTATGCAAAGAAACAACTTTTAGACACAAACTGATTCTTACATACCACAGGCATATACATTACAAATATCAGAACAACACATAGCCTCAAGAAAACATTTTTTGTGTGGATTCTTTTAAGGTTCAGTGCAAACAAAAGACAGGACTGTCAGATGTTATGCATTTCCACTTTAGAACTTAACCAGCTCACAAAAGATTTAAAAAAAGTAAAAAAAAACAAGGCAATTCTGCTTTGTAGCTGTTTTTTTTTTTTTGCTCTTATCACAGGAGCAAAAAAAATGTTTGAAAGTAGGCCTAGAAGATATCAGAAACACTTCTATGACTCACACTTTAACGGGAAGTTTTTAATGAACCTCGAAAAAGTGTGCCTAAGAATGAGTGAACATAAAGTGCACCAGCTGTTGGTGAATTAAAGATGTAGTTTAAAAAAAAATTAAAAGGTTATTTGCAATAATGTGTTGGCAAACATTAGAAGTGCCAACTTGGCTAATTTTAAACCCAAATTAGTTGGAAAGGGAGGGAAAACCTGAGGCCAAGTCCAAGAGGGGAAGAGACCTACGCACACTTCTACTGTCTTAAAACATCTACATCAAAAACGTCGCAGCATGTGTGCTGTACTTCATGAACTGTAAAACCATACTTATGTTTGCAATGGATGGTCATTCATAGGGAATCCAATGATTTTATTTATTTATTTTTCATTTTTTTTAACAGAGGAAATGGAAATTGGAGGTGGCACATCACCAATGACTTTCCTGTAAAACATGGAACATAAAACGCGTTTCCAGTCAGAGTAATAGTCGGATACAGAACTAAAGCCACAGAAAGGGCAAAAATATTAAAGCAGTTTACACGAAGGCTATTTTGTTCACATTTACACTGTGCTTCTTTTTTTCTAATCACCCAATCCAGTGTAAGTATGGTTTGAAGCTTTATGAAATAGCATTTATCCAAACCACTATGAGATTTATGAGGCAAGTGCTGTTTTAAAAGCTCGGAAGTCATCTGTGGTCTTGGCCCCTTTTCAGAGGCTTTAGCCTCCAGGACAAACTATAATCTAGATTTCTACTAAATGTAGATGCCAAGAGTGTTACGTGCTGCAGGTGACATATCCGTTTAAGGGTTTGCAAAGGATAACCCTGCTAATTACAGTGGAAGAGTTTCAGGAAAAACATGAAACACTCGAGGCAAACAGTGGATGCATGCCTATTTCTGATTGAGTATTTGTGGATCTACCGTTTTTTGCAGATTTGGAAAATTTACTGATTCATAGAGTTTTAAGTAGACTTGAAGCTGGAACACTTCTGCACATTTCTACTTGACAGACTATTGGCTGGCTTTTACAAAACAGCCAATCTAGGAATGGCATTTATTTTCCTTGCCGTTGATTGGCTGCAACTCCAAAAGCAGAGATGAAAACAACCATAGATGTTAGCTTCTGTAAGAGTGCTAAGATGGCTTCCACTGTGTGTATTACTGCATTTTAAAGTATATTTGGTCACTGACATTTTAAAATAGTTATAAGAATTTTTTGTGGGGACCTCAAATATTTGCAGATTTGACTCATTAGTGCAAGGATGTGTTCCCTGACCTCCATGAACACCACAGTGTTTTCTGTATATTAAAGTTCTACTGACTTTTGCAGCTTTTAGGCTGTAATAATAAAACCTTATCTCTCTTTTATTTAAATCCAATGTGCTGAAATTCCAAAACTATATAGACTCCAATATGGGTTTATGAATGCATAACATCTGACAACACAATAAATAGCACACCAAAGAAAACAGATTAACTACTTTTAGCTGGACAAAACTGTACAACATCATGGATACAAAGTTGACTTCAAGGACTTTTGGAGGCGAAAGAAATCCCAACATGCAAACAGGAATATGGGGTTGTTGGAGACAAAATGAAAGAGGAAAACTGCTTCAAAGACAGTCAAAATGTTGTCTTAGCAGTCCAAGCAGCCATAAGAAATGTCTTTTGCAAATAGACTAGTTGTGCTGCTTCTGAGCATCCTCACTTGGTTAAGATTACCAAATAAAGTGGATAATGGGACACAGAAGCAAACAAAACAGACAAGCGTCAAGGATGGGTTCATGTGTACTGGTGAGCTCAGTGTTACTGCTCATGGCATTCAAGGCGGACCACAAATGTCTTTAAAATAAAGAAATCAAATATTTTCACATAATCAATACGATCCTCTAGTTTCTGTGTCTAACCCGGGGACGCGTTAGGTTTTACTCAGCTATCGCGTCGCCAAGTGCTTCCTGCTGCCAATTCTCGAAACCCGCTCTGTGGAGAGTGCGGTAGCTCTCTGGAGAGGAAATCGAAGGGAACTGGCTGCATTATTAAATACAACGTTTCTCTCGCTCAATATTTAATTAATATCCAATTGGATCGCGCTCCCCACAGACATAATATTATCCTGCTCATTTGAATATCATTACATTTGTCAAGACTTGTGGATAAGACTCTGAATGTATCATTCTTTCATGACTTCTCCGGCAGTAACATCCTCATCAAAGGGAGTACATAATCGCTGCGGGTGGAATTGTTTTTACAGCTTGACGCTCGACTTTAGTGTAAATTCCCGAACATATGTCTGTCTATGGGAAACACTTGTAAAGACGTTTGGATGTCTGCATGCAGCGCAAGTCCCGTTCCCTGTAAGCTAGGCGTAAACCCAAGCAGGAACACTGTCATGGTAAAGGGCTGGGAGGGTCAGACGTTAGCAAGTGAGCATGCAAACAGACAGTCAAGCAGATGCAAAAATCAACCTCCCACTGTTCCGCCTCCAGGATACCAACATGTGCCACCTGTTGGACGGTCATGCATTCTGACAAAGAGCAAGGGACAGTCTCTACAGGAACAAGAACACTGAATGTGTGACAAAGAAAAACAATGCGCTGAGGCAAAAGCAAAACCAATGGAAGAATGCTCGCTTCAATGTCTGGAAGATCCGATTTCCTTTTTGGTGATGAAAATAAAGAAAATCGATTGCCATAAAGAGTAACTTGATGAAGAAGTAAAAAGCACACCAACCTTCTCGTAGCTCTGAAGGATGTAGGGATTTTGGATGCAGAACAAAATGAAATAAGGGGTGGAGAAAAAACAAGGGAAACACAGAGAGTAAGAAGGCCATGTTTCAGGTGCTCAAATGCTGCGGAAAACATTTCGGAGGACCTTGTGTCCTCTAAAGGGAAGGAAGCCCTGTGAATCTCCCCAACACCAACAAACAGCGACACCTTGTCGGAGCTAAAACGTTTGAAGTAGCATTTACTCACTTATAAACTGTGTTGTACCAAAAGCCAGTGGTCTCAAACTCCAGTTCTTGAGGACTGACGTCCAATACGCTTGAATTGTGTAGCTCAATTGTCTCGTTTTGCCATTTTGCCTCTGGAGTCCCAACAACAATATTTTTTGGATTTTAGCGTGTTGAAGTAAAGACTTGTCAAAGTGTCTCAGCACACCAGCCTGTGAGGACTGAAAGTTTGAGACCATTAAACCATTTGATTAGCTTCTCAAAAAACTTCAAATACTAGGTCTCCTTTTTCATTTGCTTTCTCACTGTCAGAAGATTTTCATGGCTGTTCAACAACGGTTGGCTAATGGTCATCACAGACTATCAGCATTCTCTCTTCTGCAGGTTCACACATGTGTTTTTACTGATGTTTAACAGGGCATTCCACATCAAACTAATGCAAGAATAGAAATGGTAATAATGACAAACAGAAGGTTGAAGAACTGTCGGCTTTTTTTCCCACGAATAGTGGGAAGAGTTTGGATTTCGGTAACACTATTTGAAGGGGGGTGAATAAGACTGTCATGACAGTTTCATTAACATGACATATCACATGTCATGAACATGAATAAGCCTTCATGAATGTTTATGACTGTTGTCAAAAAGCGTCATTCGGTAAATTATGACACTTTTAATACAAAGTTGATATTATTCAAAATGTCTTTGTTATGACAACTTGACATTAACCAAGAAATAATTACTGTTTAAACTTTACCTTTAATAACATAAAGTTACCTAATTTTTAAAGTGCAATCAGTAATACTTTTATAACACATTTATATCAGTAATGATTTCTTGGTTAATGTCAAGGTGTCATAACAAAGACATTTTGAATAATGTCAACTTTGTACTAAAAGTGTGATAATTTATCGAATAACGCTTTATGACAACAGTCATAAATATTCATGAAGGCTTATTAACGTTCATGACAGGTGTTTATGACAGTGTCATGTCAGTCTTATTCACCCCCCTTCAAATAAAGTGTTACCTGGATTTCTAATGATACGACAGCAGTGCAGCAACACTAAACTTATAACAGGACGCGTCTGGAAAGCAATATGCTCGATGTCGTCATTTTACCAGGAAAAACAAGATAGTTAAGTAATGTAATTAAAGAACAGCCTTAGGTTTCAGTAGGTAACAGTATCAAACCTGAAGAGTAAAAATTTCACATTTTTAGCCATTTTAGTTTTTATTGTCAAAATAGGAAATATTTTGTTCCTTGTCCTTTCTACCAAGTTTGAGCGACAAAAAAAAGAGGGAAAGTATTTATCACACAGATTTATCTCTGTATATGTTTCAGTTTTCCAAAAATTTATTTATTCTGAATTTCTGTATTTTTCCATTAACATTTAATATTTGCAATGCCTACTCTTTCATTCCAATATATTATTTTTGTTGTTTTATTTAATGACTTTTTTTATGTTTTTCTTCCTGATATTTCTCTTGCTGCCTCAACAAATCAAGTTTCAAACACAGATGGACAAATACAGGATTATTTAATTGTATTCTAGAGTATCCCTCAGCATACAAGACAACATTTATAGTGGATAATGCTACCTTTCTCCATTATTTTTATTTTATCATCAAGAAAGTATTAAGGCATCATTATAATGGTGTAACTCCAAACTGACAAATGGTTTCTGTTTTAATACAAATTGGTGCGTCACTGCACCATCCGTTGTGCTCAAGAAAGGAGATGGAGGGAAACAGATGTATTGGCCTAAAAGGGGCTGAGTTAGCAAATTTTGTTTGTACAAAGTGATGTTTTGCTGCAACTATCCCAGATCAAGAACTTAAAAAAAAAAACAGACACACACCAACTACTATACATTTTGTTGTTGCAACTGATATAAAAAAGATGATTTTGTCTCAGAAGTAAGCTTTATTTTTGTAATCCTCTTTCTTACAGACCCCAAAAACATCCCTAAGGTGAGTAGGAATTGATACATGGTCGATACTAAACATTTCATAGTGTGTGCGAAAAGACCAAAAGTCTTTTCTTACACGAAGGGGATAAATGCAACATTATTGTCCCCTGAGACATGTAGAGCTCAGAAGTAAAGCCTTGTATGTCTTCACTATCCGTGAGGTGATAGAAGGCCCAATAAAAGCAGGTTTAAAAACCACAAATGGCCACAACGTTTGAAGTGAGAAAGCAAACACGGCTTTGAACTGGGTTAAAAGGTGAAGAGATCCATCACCCGAAAGCTCCTTGAAGGAAAAAGGAAAATTCATTCTTCTGCTAGCCATTTTAAAATATATTTGATGATATCTTAAATTAACTGTGCTCAACTAAAGTGAGGTAAAACGAAGGATTACTAAATGCTGTTTAACCAGAGTAAATTATAAGTTAGGGGGGAAAAACCCTAACAACTCTGTCTAGGCTGCTGGATGAACAGTACTGTACTTAAAAATACCCGTAGAGTAGAATTAATTGCCGTTTCCTGAATCTTTCAAGTTGCATCCTCAGTAATGGGATTACAGGTGCCCTAGTGTTTATCAGTAGGGAGGAGGAAAGAAAAGGATCTTTTCACAGCTGGAGCTGATGAACGAGGTCCGTTCACTCCCTCCACCAACTCCAGCAGTCAGCTTTTTTAAAAGCAATTAGTAGATACATGCTGCAAGCGGCCTCGTCACTGGTGTTAGACTCGGGCTAATCAACGGAAACGGACCGGAAACACATAACAGAGCAAATACTGTAGGTTCAAATCAGTGCAGGTAAGGCAAGTGCAAGGAACAGAAAATAAACTGTAATAGAGCATACTTACAGTGACCTCATAGCACACGGACCCTTGCAGACAATGTGGCGATTTAATCGCTCCTTATCAGGTTTTAAAGGCAGTGTGATACTAATGTTTGGCGAAAACAAAACAGGGAGGCCGTTTCCTACCTCTGACGTAAAGATTAGCCGGGGCAGAATAGCGAGTCCCGTCGTTGTTCGTCGCCACGCATTCGTACTTTCCCTGGTCCGGTTCCTCGCTTTGCTCTATCTGCAGGGCTCCTAGTTGGAATAACAAACGAGGGTAACAAAAGGCAATGTGGTCAACTCGGTTCACAAACAAAATGACTTGTCTTCTGCATTCTCCTTTCATGTCTGAGGTTAACTTGCTTCAGAGACATTAAGTTTTAGACTTTATCTGCTAGTTGTTATTATGCGTCTCAAGTAAAATGGGGACTTCTATGCATGTGGACAGCTGCAAATTACAATCATGCAAAACATTGTAATACAGCTAAGATTGTTTATTTCTGTTATCAGAGCTAAAGTAGCAAACCAACAAAAGAGTAAAAAAAAAAATAAAAAACGGAAAAGAAAGTAACTCATAAAAACAAGGTATACCCTATCATTTTGATTTTTTTTTTTCTGAGTAAAAAAATGGCAGATTGTGTTAAAAAAACGCACACGCTCATCTCAGTGCCAATTAGGCATGGGTTGGTTTCTGGTGTCAAGGTATACAATTTAAATTTTTTTTTTTTTTTTTAGGTTACAGTGTAAAAGCAGATTTTGCTGCACACTGGGAGCCAGCTGGCTAAAAGAAGACTACAATACATTCCTCTTTCATCCAAACTATTCCTGTGTCTTGGCCTTTTGCAACTTTGTACCTCATTCGGTGGTATGCTTTGGGTCCAAGCTTTAATTTACTGACTGATATCTTGAGATATTGCTTCAATACTTTGACAAAATTGTATGTTCTTATGTCATATATGTTGTGAGGATCATTAGTTCCTCTTGGTGTACAATCACACCACAACATGATGCTGCTGCCAGCATACTTCAGTTGAGATGATGTTCTCAAGTTTGCCAAGCTTCTTCTTTTTCTGACATCTTAATAGCCAAAAACTTAGACCTTATGTAATGTCTTCAGAAATGAACTTTTTTGCTTGAATACTTTTTTGTTGCGTTTCTACTAATAGCTTCTTTCTCTCTGAATGGTCTTTCAAGCCCAGTAGGAAGAGGGTTTTTTTCTTGTTTCTTTTTAGCCCACCTTCACTACCAAATATACAATCATCTCTGGGACACAGAACCCATCTTCTTCCTGAATGTTGTGATGGCTGCACATTCTTGTAGTGCACATATTCACGTGAACGGACGATTGTTGCACCTTCTGGCATCTGCAAATTGCATTAAAGGATGAACCAGAGAAGTGGATGTCCACAATTTCTTGAGATTTTTCCACACAGGGAAGCAGTGATGTTGCCTTAAAATAAGCCAAGACATTCCTATCTGGACTTTCCCAAATTGTTTAAAAGGGAATATTAGTGTATGTAAGAGCAGAGAAGCTGGCCTATGTCTGAAAATGGTAGACCTAGCCCCAGAGATCACTAGTGACAGGGCCAAGTAAAGATGGAGGATCGATGCCATGAATTCTGTACAACTGGAAACAACGGGAGAAAAGAGCAAGCTGCAAAAGTCTGACTTACATTTCTGGCATTTAGCAAACTGAAATACTTTTGGCACATCTAACTGGCCTTTGACACTGAAAAATTGTATGATTTAATGCCAGTCAATGAGACAGATGGTTGTGTGTTGCTATCCAGTGAATGTAAATATCTGATTTCGACTGTATGCAAAACATTTAAAGAAAAAAAAAAAAAAGAAACTGTTTTGAAGCTACATTTGGTGCGCTAAAACCGACTAATTTGCCGGCTTATTCTGCTTATGTTAAGTGCTGTTAATATATTAATTGTGTACTTTTACTTAAATCTGGATATACAATTATTATTTTTGCAGTAGTAAGAATAACTTCTGCATTTTTTGCTTTGTGTTTCTATCTAAATACCTTGATAACAAGAAACCTTGGCATTTAACTCAAGGTTCTGACACCATGAGAGCCTCATACCGACCCATGCCTAGCGCCAAAGACAACAAAAAATACAAACGGCCGATTTTTACTTTGAATAAGAGGGGCAACCCATCAATATACAACATGTCACTGGACTGGTCAGTATGGGGATGAGTGATACTGCTTCAGGGAAACATGGATCAAACAAAAGAGGTTTACAGTATAAGAAAGCAGCGCAACAAGGGAGGACAATTTGAAAAACAAAACAAAAAGAAAATTTAGGTATGATTCTTTTTTTTTTAGCATATTCAATCACAGATCAGTTGTAATATTCAGCCTATGGGGTAATTTGGACTTCACCTGGGTGAAGTTTCTTTGGAAAAAGTAAAAAAAAAAAAAAAAAAAAAAAAAAAAAATCAGCAGCATGTGCAAAAATTTGGTGCTGCTCAGATTAGCTGGAAAAAAAATGTTTATTGAATCGTTAATTCAGGCAGAACCAACATATAACCCTCTAACAAAAGGTTTGACATGCAAATCTTAGCAAGAAATGTATGTCGACACAACTTACAACCTTCTGACAACCCTTAGCTGAAAAATAAAATGCAATTGTATTAGAAGACAAAATTCAAAATGCAGCCTGAGCCAACAAGAAAGTATAACCATCCACTGCTTTAGCCACAAAAAGACACCCATAAAAATCCACCAATGGGATCAGCAGTGTGGTGTCACATGACTCAAAGAAAAATGGCTTTATGCATCAACAACTCTCCCGCTCCATGTCACACGGCAAAAATGAGCCAATCAGGTCCTCGCCAGACTCTACAGTTTGCCTTTTCCCCAAACCCTGAAGAAAAAAAAATTAAAAAGTCAAAAAAGATTAAAAAAAAAAAAAAAAAACCAAGAAAAGTAAGAAAAATAGGTGAAAGAGGAAGGTGGGAAAAAAGCACCGTAGAAACTTTATCAAAAAAGTGGTTGTTTGGGCTTTTTTGTAGAGGTACAGGAGAGGAAAGCAAACAGAAGAAATGGGAAAAAAATAGTTTGCAAAGATAGAAAGAAGTCTTTGGGAGAGGTGGTGTTAGGTCTTCCACAGCATCTGTGCATGTCGGGGGTTTTTTTGTGCTGAACAAGAAACAGCTAAGGGGGGAAAAATGCTTGGTTGTTTTAGTTGGACAAAAAAGAGGGACACATGATTGGCTATGGCCAAAAAGGAAAAAAAACAACAAAAAAACAAAAACAAAAATGAGCATTAAAATATAGTTTTGGAGGAAAAAAAATAAAAACAGAATTGTCATTGTATATGCTTATTAGAGCCAGGGCAAGCATATCACAACTGAGCTAAAAGAACAAGAAAAAAACAACAAAACAAAAAAAACCAAAACACAAAGGAGTAAATAAGGCATAGACACGATGATGAAATACAATTTTAGTCAACCAAAACCAGGACAAATAAGGAGGATGGGTCCATGTGAATGAAATGGTATTCGATCTTTGTAAACAGGACAAAAATGGGAGCGTACGGATGGCTTGACAGCAAGAATGAATTTGTATTATTTTCATTCTTTGAACGTCAGTTCAGCACTCTTACCTCTTATTGGCGTACCACCTGGGTGGATAATATGAATGCAAATAAGATTGGAAAGAAGAAGCATTAGTACGAGTAGATAGAGGTTGGGGGGCTTTGGAAGAAGAATCAAATTAGACTCAACAGGGTACGTAAATAAAGGTACTACAGGAAAGAGAGAGGAGAGAGAAGAAGAGAGAACTTTTCTTTCTGTACTCTATTGGCAGAGAAAAGACAGGATTCATCATAGAAAAATCATAAAGTCAGAAGATCTTGTGAAACACGTGGGGGGGGAGGTGGTGCCGTTTTTTTTTTTTTTTTTTTTTTTTTTCCCAAAGTGGCTTCTGAAGACCATCTACTGAGGGGGAAAAGACTTTTCAGGACTTTGTACATGAGACTGAAAGCGGGCGGACCTTTGGCTTTGATCTAGAGGTAAAGCTGGCCGCCTCCCTAAAAGCTCTTGGGGACTTTTTCCCTACTTAAGGTGCTGGTGTTAAAACATTAAAGTAGTGGATAAGTGAGTGAGGAACAAACATGTGAGGATTGATTATTATTCAGGTCAGTATGCGACAATACTTACAGTACTATGAAAAAATAATTACCCTCTTTCAGATTTCTTCGTTTTTTTTTTGTTTTTTTTTTAACTTAATTTTGTCACGTTAAAATGTTTCAGATCTCAAACAAATTTTAACATCTGACAATTACTCCCTGAGCAAATACAACAAGTGGTTTTCAAGAAATTATTTAATTTCTCAGGGAATCTGACCCTGCATGAAACAGCAATGGGAACCTAAACCTGATAACTGTTTGCACCACCATTGGTAGCAAAAATGCTGGCGATGACGCATTTACATCACTGTTTTAATTCGTATTAGAAGGTTTTCAAGTACATAAATCTTGTTTATGGTCACACCACCACACCTGGAACTGATTTTAGGCGAAAATGCTAAGGTAAATGTGATGGGTTTTTTTTGAGCCATTCAGTGATGGACTTGCTGGTGTCTGTTGCATTATTGCCCCTGCAGCATAAAACAAGTGCACTTGAGGTTAACGTCACAAAGTGGTAGCCGGACATTTTCATTCAGGGTTTTTTGCTCAAGAGCCGAATTCATTCTGTTGCAGTCCCAACGAGTCATCCACATTACAAAGCAGTGCCTTTATAATGCAATGTATAAGAGTGCTTCCTCCAGGTTGGGCATAAGGTTCTATCCCAAGAGGTCTTGTTCATGAATCGTGAAAAAAAAGAGTGGTAGATTGGTGTGAAATCTGTAGCGATGCGAGTGCTGTACTGCTTTGTCGTAGTCAAGAAAAAGCAAAATCGAAAGGAAAAGTTCTTGATTTATCTGGTTGATTTATATTCCTACTAGGAATGGAGTCAAGACCAGTTCTTATTAGACTGAGACCGAACTCTCCAAAAACGAGACTGAATATTTAGAGTTCAAATAGTATTTTAGGACACTTTTTCTTTGGGGAGGAAGGCACCACAAAACGCAAGAATTAATGGGGAAATGGTTAGTTTCTCAGCCAACATTTCTTGTTGGTATTAAGCAAATAATTGCCATAATTAACTAATATTTAAGTTATTAAATGCAGCCACGCATTGATACGCATTCTCTAAACTGAATTCATCAGCTCCATTGCACAGTAGTTGCATAGAGAGTAATAAAGACTTGTCATCATATCGGCCATGGAGTCAAGGCTGTGTCTTCAGAGACCAAGACAGAGCCAAAGACAAGGGGAAAAAAGCAGGAGAGATCAGTCTTGAACCCTCCATGCCTGGTTCCCACCCTCATCTACAGTCATGATGCCAAAAGAATGAGATCGTGGATACAAGCAGCTGAAGGGCACTTATTTAAAGATCAGAGGTTCTCTCGGAGGGGCCCAAGTGGGCTGTTTTCCCCCCGACCCAGCCCCAGATAAAGCTGATATTTGTCTGATATTACACTTTGTGTGAAGATCTGAAACATTTAAAAGCGACCAAAAGAAAATAAATAAATAAAAAAAATCAAGAACAGAAGAGATTTGTAAGGGGCAAATACTCTCTCACAACACAGTAGCCTGAAGCTTGATGGTTAAAATTCTCAAGATAAGGTGGTATTACAGCTGGCAGTGGTATTAATAGCAGTAAGACAGTTACACATTGTGAGGGTAAGGGGAGAGTGTGTGTGTGTGCGTGTGTGTTTGTGTGTGTTTTCTAGCCCTGACACTCTAAGCTATCTGTTAGTAAAATGCATGCCATGCATTTTAATAGTTGTTGGAACATGGAAATTAGTGGGGGTGATGTGTGCTTTGGAGCTAAGCACTTACCAAAGGATTCTGTAGAATTTAAAAATATAGAGAGAAGAAAGACAGCATAAGAATTATGATTATACTCCTTAAGTACGTTTAGTTAACAAGGTTTGGTTAATGCTTTAGCAAACTGCACGTGAATAAAAGTCGCAAGTTAGAAGTTAAGGTTAATCTGACACAGTTCTACTGAAACAAAAATAAACAACAAAAAAAACAAGTCAGGTTAACACGATGAGTTAACAAAAGGAAAGCTGTGAAATCTGTGAAGACAGGTGGTCAAACAGACAAGACGTCCAATTTAAGAAGTTATGCTATTGGGTTATCAGCTGGACAGAACTGGTTAAAAGTTAGAATAGTTGTTTTCTATTGATATATTAAATGAAAACAAAACTGGCATTTACACATTAAAGCAGGGACTACAGTGCCTTGCAAAGGTATTCGCTCCACTTCGGCTTTCTCACATTTTGTCTCGTTACAACCAGTAACTGCAACCGGCATTTAAAGTGATAGACCAAGAGAAAGTAGTGCTGAAACTGAAATGGCATTTTTCATTTTCACTAATAAAATCCAAAAAGATGCGCTTCTTTACGCCTACAAATAGTCTGGAATATTCTTCTGAACGTTTTACAATGTCTTTTATAAAAAAATAAAAAAAAAAAAAAAAAAGCTTATCCAGATAGACTGACTGGTGGGCATTTAAAGGACAACTTTCAAATCTCGCCAGAGATTTACAACAGGGCTTGGTCAGGACTTTGATTAGGCCATTCAAAGAAATGAATATCATTTCCTCTAAACCACTTTATTGTAGCTCTGGCTGTACATTTAGAGTGATTATCTTATTAAACGGGCTAAAGGTGAAGTCTTCTGCCTTATCTATTATTGACAGTTAAACCCTGGTATTTACAAGGTTAGAAACCACAATCATATGTCAATACTTGAAACCCCAACATAAACCTTTATAAATACCAATTTCAATTGTTCAAGCATCAAATGTACCTTTACATGCCCACAGGGAAAACAGATGCAGCTCCAATGAAGAAGTCTACATCTACAGTCTTCCTTATCTTTACGTTTAGGTGCACAACATCACCACCAAAGAAAATTAAATGTTTCTCCTGGATTGGCTGCTCTGCAAATCCATGCATGCTCTGCATTTTTTGGAATAGTTTAGATATGCTATGTAAAAAATAAAAAAATAAAAAAACTGTGAATAAGTGGATTTTCCACAAATGTGGAGTCACGTTCCACAAAAAAAATATATATATCTACAAATACTGAATTGCGAATAAGTGCACTATACATACACTCATCTTCCTCTCTTCCTCCATGGCAAGTTTATTTATCATTGGTGAATAAAAGTATCTCCAGAGCACGATCCTTCCATGCTAGACTATGTTTTGTGGGAGTAGTGTGTTCAAGTTTGTTACTTTATGTTGGTCTATCAAATAAAATACAATCTAAATGGACAAGTTTGTGGTTTTAAGGTGGAAAAAAATGTGACATTGAACATTTTTGATTTTTTTTTCCCTTTTGCATGGCACTGTATAAAGTCAGAATGAAGGGATAAAGGGAAAGCTTTATGAAGTTTTACGCACTACTGTGGCTGATTAGTTTCAAGAAATAAACTTCTTCTCATTGAATCTGAAATGCTCTTAAAGCAAAACATCGACTGCAGGACAAATATGTTAGGATAATTAAATTGCTTCTCTGCGTGTTCTCCTACTCTAAAAGCATGTGCATTAATTTGTGGGCTCTGAATGTGGCCGAATGTTGACTGAAAGGTGTAAGTAATGGGCATAATGGTTCTAAGAAATACTGCACCAATGCAGTGGAGAGTAAAACCAAGATGAAAGGGCAGAAAAAAAAGAAAAAAATTAAGAACAATTGTTTGTTCAGAAAGTCACAGCAGTGAGCAATGTGGGCAGAGGTTAGGGCGAAAGCCAGCAAACACAGAAAGGAAACAATCCCAACAGCTCATGACAACACTGGAAGACAAAGGGAGACGCACATAAGACAGACAAACAGGGATGTACAGCAAGTAGAGGACAGGAAATAGTCGAAACAATGCCATTACCTATAAAACGAAAAGCCAAATGAGAAGTTAAATCATGGGCAGGAAGAAGAGGGGATGAAAGAGCAGAGGATATAATGTGGGAGCAGATCAGATAGAAAGTGAAAAAAAAAAGAAAGAAAGGAGTCTCCCTGTTTGGTAATTGAGTTTTCAGCAGAGGAAACCTACCTGATCTGAGCTGCTTAATGCGTCCGTTGTTGTTGGTGGTGTTGACAGGGAGGAAGTCTTTGAACCAGGTGATGTCTGGGTCGGGGTTGCCGCTGGCGGCACAGAGCATGGTGGCGGTGCGCGTTCGCTCCACCACCTTTAACTGTGGGCCCATGTCTATGGTGGGGAAGCCAGGGGGCAGCTGGTCCTCTGCAAAACAGGTTGGAGACATTTTGGGCAAGATGTCAGAGACAGCGAGGCGGTGGTCTTAATGAACCCATGACCGGGTGGCGGGGGAGTAGAAATGAGGCCAGACTGTAGAGTAACAGAAAATTAGTGAATTGAGAACAAAGGGGTTTTTTTATGCTGCTAATTCTCTGTGTGTCATTTTCCTTATAAAATTGTGACAGACGAATAAAACGATTTAATTAGCCGTGTTTTAAAAAAAGGGTTACGCAGTACGTAGAGGAACCGATCCGACAGCGAGATGCTCTAGAAATGAGCTTTAAAGCTCTGGACCTGTTCTTGAATTTTTAATTAGTTCCCTACTGAAACATTAAAATACCCTCTGCTTCATGGGAGACGGAGCACACACACACACACACACACACACACACACACACACACACACAC